CCCCAAAACCCCAAAACCCCAAAACCCCTAATTTCTAAACACATATTGATAATTTATGGAAAATCAAGCAGAAATTAGTAAGCTTTTGGAGGTTAGAAGTAGACTCTCAAGCCATCTTCGAGTATGTCAAGAAGCTTGAGAAGGAAAATCAGGATCTAAAGAGCCTTGTTATGGACCTCCATGAGTACATCCAAGATTTAAAAGAAGAGTCTGAATATTATCAGTGGAAATGCAAAAGTAAGTTATTTTAGGAAAAGTTAAGAAATAAGGGTTATAAAGACTCTGTTATATTCCTTACTCAGACATTAGCATGTGGCTTCGCATGGATGTTTATTACCTGGACTTAAATATACGCTTGCTAAAGTAAATACTGTTGGGTTTAATAGACTCAGAAAGTTTTGGCGTTTCTCTGAATTTTGTTAGAGGAGTTCTAAAAATCATAAAACCTAATGTCCAGAGTTTCAACATAGTCCAAATAATTCTTGTTTGGTGGAGGATTACAGAAAATATAGGCCAAAATTTGGAATATTTAACAAAAATTGGGGGTAAAGAAGATAATGCTTTAAAGAAAGAATCTATGACTTATGTGACACCGAAAAAGAAGCCATCAGAATGTGCTATAGTGTCAGCTTGATATGAGGGGATTACCTCCCACAGTAGTAATGAATATTTTATAATTGTTATAGAGAAGAGGACTCTTTCATTTGAAGAATTTAAAGAGAAAAGTCCAATTTGTCAGAAGCAAGATGCTAATTTTACTGATCACGACAATTTTCCTAATTGTGATTTTGAGAATAATACTAAATCAAAAGGGAAACACTCAGAAGTATTGTTTTGAATGTAAATATAGACTGATTCTCAGACCTCAGATATCACATTGAAATCAACCTCTAGAGATAAATGAGAAGAGCATTTTATCCACAAATATCAGGTATGACAACTCCCCAACAATTTAGAGAGACATTGATAACCCAGAGGATGATCATGGTATATCCCCTTCAGAGTATAGAATCAATTATGTCAGAAAAGTCCTTGCGCTCACCTCATGATACTCCCACCTTCGGGTTATCCCAAACCTACGACATCCCTGTGACTCCATTAACTGAGATTTGTGCAAATATGATTCCAAAGAGTTCGCCTTGTAAGAAACTCATCATGAAGAAGGAGCCAAACAACATCCCTAAGAAGTCTGTAAGCAAGATTCCTCTACTGAAGAGAGCTAGGTAAGTTCTTTTGTTGCAGCTTTATAGGAAGAAGCAGCGTAGTGCTATGTCTCATTCTACTGTACAAGTCTCTTCAAAACTTACATCTAAAAAGAAGTATCTCAAGTAGCCAAACTTAACTAGGGGTTTTGGGGTTTTGGGGTTTTGGGG